ACAATATCTATAAGTCAACTTCAATAAGTAAAGAGTGGGATTAAAAACAATGAACAAGAATAATTAAACCAATCATGTTTATGTTATTACCCAATAAGTAATAATTTAGGATGTTCATTTCCCCAGATGATTTTCTGGGCCTGAGACAAGGAGTTGAGGAACAGCAGGAAGACTCTGTTGCACTAGTTTGTTTTTAGTTGGTTATTAGGATAACCTGGGGAACTTAAAAAAATATTTATGCCAGGGCCCATCCTGGCATGATTTCATTGGTCGTTGAAAGGGTCTGGATATTTTGTTTTTCAAAAATTCCCCAAGTTTTTCTAATGTGCCTGTGAGATTTACATTATCATAGAAAGTGAATTATTGGACTGGAAACGGCCAGTTAGTCTGCTTTACTGGAGCATTGAGCTCCAGTGGATTGGAGATTAGTAAAGGGTCTTCGAATTCACAATGAGGAGACATAATTTGATTTAGAGGCAAGACTCAGAGGGAAATAGGATATGGGAATGGTTGTCAAAAATGTTCTGACTGACCTCAATTAGTAGCTCTGGGTGCACTGGGAAAAGCAGCATTCGTTCAGCTGTGCCTACTGCAGGCTCTGTCCAGGGACTGGGATAGAAAACTTTGGCAGATCAGGATGAACACAGATGAGAATAGTACCGTATGCCCATGCTGCAGATTTAATTAACCTCCACCTTGGTGAGGCCAACAACACTTTATAAGAACAGGGTTTGCTGAAGAACAAAAAAGGACTTTGATGGCATCCTTACCAGCTTGGATTTAATAATAATGGTTTTAATACCTTATTTTTGCATTTGGAAAAACCGGTATGCTCCTGCATGAGCAGTAGATTTTATTTGAATTTCAACCATTTTCAATAATTTTCACTTAAAAGTTTAAGGGTTGCCCTGCCTATTGAGAGGATTCGAGAGGCCATACCGCAATTACCAACATAAAACATGCCTTTTGCATAAAGGATTGCTAAGCCTCAGGTGTTGTGTCTGTTGTTAGAACCATTGAGTAGCTTACTTAGTCACTCAAGCAATTACTTATTTGTGTTTTTTTGTTTTTGTTTGAGTTGGAGTCTTACTCTGTCACCCAGACTGGCATGCAGTGGCCACTCCCGGCCACTGCAGCCTCGACCTGCTGGGCTCTGGCGATCCTTCCGCCTCAACCTTT